ACAGAAGCAGCAGATGACAGAGGCCAAGAGAAGCAGGAAGCTCCAGCCATGAGAACTTGGTCCTGGGAACTCTTGGAAACTGTCAACAGTCAAGTGTCCCTGAAGGTGGAGTGTTGATATTCCCCTTTGGGTGGGGACTGATGACTTTTATAAGGTGGAGAGCATCTTCCAGATATGTTGATCTTTGATAGTTGGTGGACCACTCTGAGTTGTTGCTCACTGATTGGTTGCTCCAAGTGGCTAGGCAAATATTCTTATATAACTTTAATTCTTCAATATCTATCTATTTTTTTTTTTAACATATTTTTCTCCCATAACACCTGACTAGTTGTGCTTTATCTAACAGAAGTTCTATCTCTAAGTACTACACAGCAACATATTGAAGGCCACACTGTGGTCCTCTTATGTCAGCCTTGTTACTCAAGTGGTGTCAACTCAGTAAACTAAAATGACTCATTCTTGTGACTTCAGCACTAATACACACTCACACATGTTCAACTACCTGAACAAATATTGCCATACTTGCCTGTAGGGCTGCCTCACAACAAAATAATATTAATCCATCTATAGTTGGCATTCAGGTGCCACCTCTTTCTGTCTCTGGAACTACTTTATCTCTGTATTATATCCTTCCTTCTCAGTATACAATTCTATTTGTTTCAAATACTTTCCCCTTTCAGATGATTACATCTCTTAGGTTTTCTGGCGCTCATATAACACATTTTTGATCATGCTTAGAACAAATCACCTTAATTAGCCTTAAGCTTCCTTATGTAGTTTGGTCAGGCAGAGGAAGTGCTAGAAAAACCATGATTTTTCACATATTATAAATTAGCAGCTGCGAACAGAAAGTATTGTTTAAATTGTCTATCAGCAGCAGACAACTATTTGAGTATCCTTTTTTTCGAACAAAGTTAGTTTAAATTGACTTCAGTACTGATATGAACTTTTTTTGACTTTGCATTTGAAAGGATCATGTACATAGTCAGTAAACATATGTAAGATGTAGCTCTTAAACCATAGTTATGATTTAGTCTTTAATGAAAACAAAGTTCATTTATACTTTGAATGAGATGAGGCCGCACTGACCAAGACCAGTTCAATAATGACTATTCAGTAGATTTTCTCCACAATATGGTTAATTTGTGTCAAGTTTAACACTTATTACTAGAGCAAAGTACTTTTTTGAAAAGATGTTTTGCGGGGAGGAAAAGGTGCTAAGGTGGGGGTTTTTTGTTCGATTTGATTTTTAATTTCTGGTTAAATCAGTCATGCTTTTCATAAACATATCCTCTGCAGCTAAGCTTTGTCAGGAAATGTATTGCTAAATCTATGGTAATGTTTCTGTTTAAAACTAATTGTAGAGAGAAAGTGGAATAACCAATAACATACAGCTATGCTACCTATGGTATGGAACCCCACATTTAGAGCCATAGTTTGCCTCACTCAGGGTCATGACTTGAACATGGGTCTAAATATGGAGGTTATTCCTGCTACATGAAAACATGTTAATGTTTTCACTTTTTTTTTTTTTTTTCCAAATTACAAAAAATTATCTCAGCATGGAAAACCATTTTCCATTCAGGTCTACTTATAATTGTTTGATGTAAAGGCTATCACACTTCTGAGCTACCAAATATCCAATCTGCAAAACAGCTGGTATCCACCTCTTCTGGCAGTGTTATTTACTTAAGAGCTCTTCAAATAAGTTTCACTGCTGTCCTAGGCAGATTGTCTTTTTTTTTTTTTTTTTTTTTATTTTTTCTGTTTAAGAATGCCAACTGAGATTACACTTCACATTATATTTCACATGCACAGCAGTTCTCATAAGAATGTTATTCCACTAAGAAGAAAGCAATCTCTGAACTTGTTCCTGCAAAATTGCTATTGTCTGGGGAAAGATGTGTTAGATGGAATTTCATAAGAGCTAAAATTAAACTTCAGAAGTTTTATATCCTTCTTTACTCCCCTTCTCAGTCATAACAGTTCCAGTCCAGAACAGTTGATAACATTTTGTCTTCATCTTTTTCTTTAGTGAAGGAAAAAGAAATAATTAACCAAAGGATTACAAGAATGTATGCTCTAAGTGCTTTTCCATCTTGTCGCTTCTGATTGCAGAGAAAGTTTAAATCTCTTGAGATCATAGCCAATTTTCATTTTAATAATCATTCTGTAAAAAAAATAAATAAATATTATTTTGTGTAGTTGATTCTTTGATAAATTTACACATGTAAAATAGCACCAGAGAAACACAATTGCTGATGGTATTTATTACTAAAAGAGGGATCAATTCAAACTCATATTGATAATTCCAGTTGCCTAAAACTATGAAGTAGTGTCTGTAGTCAATAGTGATCCGAGCCGCATTTCAACTGCATTAAAATGGATATTTAGTGCTATCTAAAATGTAGGAGATTTTCACATAGGACTAGTGATATGACACCTTCTAGAGAAGTTGTGTGCTCTGTGGAGTGGTAGTTACTCTAATAAGACATATGAAATGGCACTGCATGCCTCTCAGATGACCAAATATACATGACTACTGCAAATTGAAGAACATTCCAGATTCCTCTTACTGTATCAAATAGTTCTCTGTCATTTATAATGGAGCCCTGCTCATTTGAGACTTCATGGACAAATATGTCTTCATGTCTGAGTTTGGAGCTAATTCCTAGTCTTAACCAGAAGGTCAGCTGAATTGCATAATTAATTTCAAATATGGATATTATATTGATACAAAATATTTCATACAAAAATTCTTTAAAGAAAATTCTATGTTTAAATACTAGAGTGTCATCTGAGCTGCCTGAAGGCTCATAAAACCCACTGGCTCATTAAAGAAATAAATAAATATGAGGAAGATAGATAATGAAAAAGAAAAGCAATCAGGATTCTGTGTACATAGTACCAAGTAGGAGTTATGATACTGATATGAAAAATATCAATGTCCCATAAAAATTACACTGACTCTGGTATCTATAAAAATGGGATCATATTACCTGCTTTGGTTTAGACTGGAAAGTAAAAGTAATAAATAATTTATGGATAAATGAGAAAGACAAAATATATTTAAATTTTAAAAATACAGGGTATTATAATTTGAAAAAAATAAAAAATATTATCATGAAAACCAAATTACTTTGAAAAAGTATTTTTTGTTAAATACCTAGCAGCAGGAATTTACAAATATTCTTTCAGAGAATCTTGATTTTTTTTTTTCATTATATTTGTGCTTTAAAATAATAAATGTTCAAAAATGCAGTTTATGGATTTTTACTAAACAGATTTTTTAAAAAATTTATTGGTTTAGAGATCTTAGTAAATTCTGCATACCATTTTTTTTTTAATTATTGTTCTTGTGAAATGGTATATTAATGTATTTAAATAATGTCTACCCCCGTCATAATCATACAAACTCTTTTCTTTAAGCTGATCTCTCTTTAGCAGGAACTTCATCTAAATTTTGGTGTAATCAATGAACAAAGGTCCAGGAATTTCAACATGGCTTAAAACGGAGCATTAGAAAATAAAAATCCCACAGTTTTAGCAATAACATTGCAGATATTAGTAAGAAATGGCAAAGTTTCTTTTCTGAAAGAGTATTTTTCTTCAAAGAAAATTATTATTTTCTGCATGGGATTTTTAAAAGCGGAATCTGTCACTAATTTCTGTTAGTTATCTGATTACATTGTCTTCTCCACTGTAGCAGTGTTATATTATGCAGTATTATCCCAGAGGATCCCAGAATTAGAGAAGTCTTTTCTGAAAAGACTATCTCATAGAAAAGGTTAATAATTCCTCCTCATCTCTGAGCATCAGTGTTGTTATTAATGTGCAGAGGAAAGAGCAAATGTCAACCTATGATAGCTCATATCTTGAGTGGCGTCAGAAACAGATGACTGAAGGGGTTATTCACAATATCTGCTGTGGGCTACTTTAAACATGTAACTGAGATGTGATTGAGATTTAGAAATTCGTTCTTAACTCCCTATGTAGCTAATAGAGTGAAGGAGAATTACCAGCAGCGGTGTCAGAATACTACAACTGGATGATTAAAATTAGATAGTATGAACCTCATAATCTCTAATACAAGTCAGTAAAAGTCATTAACTTCTAAACTCAGAGGGAAAAGGAAAAGATTTTCTACCAACTTCTAAACACATCAGTCATGTTATATTAAATCATCCTAATCACTAAATATATGCTTTCACTTGCAAAATGGATTTGATACTGACCACTTGTGCAAAAGGAGTAAGAGAGATGTATAGAGGTATTTCAGATTGAAAGTACTGATGTCTGTTGCATAATATATTCAAGGGAGAGCCAGAAAACAAATTATGGGGCTTTTCTCCCAACAACTGAAGGAAAAATTTCCCTTAAAATTTTTATTTTAGAGTCCATAACTATTATTATTTTACCATAGAATCATAGCATGGTTTGGGTTAGAAGGGACCCTTAAAAATAATCTAGTTCCAACCCCCTGCCATGGGCAGAGATATTTTCCAATAGATCAGGTTGCTCAAAGCCTCATCCAACTGACCTTGAACACTTCCAATGACAGGTCATCCACACCTTGTCTGGGCAACCTGTTGCAATGTCTCACCACCCTTGTCATATAAAATTTCTTCCTTATGTCCAACATAAACTTACTTTCTTTCAGTTTAAAACCATTGCCCCTTGACCTGTCATTACAGGCCTTGGCAAAAAGCCTCTCTCCATCTTTCTTATAAGCCCCTTTTATATACTGAAAGGCTACAATCAGGACTCCTTGGAGTCTTTTCCAGGCTGAACAACCCCAGCTGTCTCAGCCTGTCTTCATATGAGAGGTGTTCCAGCACTTTGATCATTTTTGTGGCCACCCTCTGAACACACTCTAACAGTCCAATGTCTTTCTTATTCTGGGTACCCCAAAACAGGATGCAGTACTTCAGATGGGGTCTTACAAGAGTAGAGTAGAGGGGGGAAATTCACCTCCCCTGACCAGCTGGCCACACTTATTTTTATGCAGCACAGGATATAACTGGTTTGGGGGCTGCAAGTGTGCATTGCTGGCTAACATCCAACTTTTCATCCACCAGTATCCCCAAGTCCTTCTCCTCAGGGCTACCTTCAATGAATTCATCCTCCATTCTGTACTGATACTGGGGATTGTCCTGACTAAGGTGTAGGGTCTTAAACTTGGCCTTCTTGAATTTCATGAGGTTCACATGGGCCCACTCCTCAAGTCTGTCAGGGTCCTTCCTGATAGTGGCAGGTGCACCTGCCCAATGATAATAGGGCTTCTTGGCTGCTGAAGTATAACAGCCATTGATTGCCTTTGCTCTCAGGGCTTCATAGTAGTTGGGGCCTTCGGCCAATAGGAACTGCTATTGACCACGGGTCAGATTGAGCCTGGGTATAAATGGAGTCCCCTGGGGGAGACATTTTGAGCTTGTCCCCTGGACAGCAGCTGCAGTTGAGGACTCTCTGCTTGGGTCAAAATGCCACCCAAGGAAACTCTTTGAGGTGACTTGAGTTGGAATGCTGCCCTAAGAAGGCCCTCCTTATCTGTTAGGGGAATGATAGAGCATTTTGGGTTGTCATTAAATCCTAAGGAGTTGTTGTTTTGGGGCCACACCTGTTGAACATCTTTATTGATGATCTAGACGAGGGGATAGAGTGCACCCTCAGTCAGTTTGCAGATGACCCCAAGTTGGGTGGGAGTGTTGATGTGCTCGAGGGTAGGGAGGCTCTGCAGAGAGACCTGGACAGGCTGGAGCCATGGGCTGAGGCCAACTGGGGGAGTTTCCATAAGGCCAAATGCTGGGGGCTGCCCTTGGGCCACAACAACCCCCAGCAGCGCTACAGGCTTGGGGAGGAGTGGCTGGAGAGCTGCCAGTCAGAGAGGGATCTGGAGGTGCTGATTGACAGCCGGCTGAACAGGAGCCAGCAGTGTGCCCAGGGGGCCAAGAAGGCCAATGGCATCCTGGCTTGTGTCAGCAATAGCGTGGCCAGCAGGGACAGGGAAGGGATCTGACCCCTGTCCTCGGCACTGGTGAGGCCGCCCCTCGATTCCTGTGTTCAGTTTTGGGCCCCTCACTACAAAAAGGACATTGAATGACTCGAGCGTGTCCAGAGAAGGGCAACGGAGCTGGTGCAGGTTCTGGAGCACAGGTCGTACGGGGAGCAGTTGAGGGAACTGGGGGTGTTTAGTCTGGAGAAGAGGAGGCTGAGGGGAGACCTCATCGCCTGAAAGGAGGTTGCAGAGAGCTGGGGATGAGCCTCTTTAACCAAGTAATGAGTGATAGGACAAGAGGGAATGGCCTCAAGTTGCACCAGGGAAAGTTCAGACTAGATATTAGGAAGCATTTCTTTACAAAATGGGTTGTTAGGTGTTGGAATGGACTGCCCAGGGAGGTGGTAGAGTCCCCATCCCTGGAGGTGTTCAAGAATCGGGTCGATTTAGAGCTTAAGGATATGCTGTAGGTGGGAACTGTGCTAGGTGAACGGTTGGATTAGATGATCTCCAGGGTCCTTTCCAACCTAGATGATTCTGTGATTGTTTGTTATGTGATTTGGGTTGTCATTAAGCCTTAGGAAGTAGTTCTGTTCTCCATTCACAGATATTCAAACCTATAATTTGTGGAGGGCTCATTAATTTTGTTGACAATAAATTTAAATTATTTTGGTGCTTTATTGTTTATTTGAGACCCTCCGTAACATAAATAGCATCCCTTCCTTCTAGTGAATCAACTGCATCACTCAGCTTGGTGTCATCTGCAAACTTGTTGATGGTGCACTCAATCCAACTATGTCGTTTATGAAGATATTAAACAGCATTGGTCCCAGTATGGACCCTTGAGGAAAACTATTCATTATTGGATTCCACTTGGACATTGAGCCATTGACTATAACACTTTGGACATGACCACTATTCAGTTTCTTATCCATCTAACAGTCCATCCATCAAAAACATATTCCTCCAAGTTAGTGACAAGAATGTTTTGGGAGACCATATCACAGACCTTACAGAGGTCCAGTTAAATGACACTTGTAGTTCTTCCCTTGCCCACTGATGCAGTTAATCCATCACAGAAGGCCGTTAGATTAGTCAAGCATATTTTGCTCTTTGTGAAGCCATGCTGGCTGTCTCTAATCACTTCCTTATTTTCTATATGTTTTGACATATCTTCCAGAAGGATCTGTTTCATGGTCTTACCAGTCACAGAGATGAGGTTAACTGCTTGGTAGTTCACAGGGTCCCCCCTTTTACCTTTTATAAAAATGGGCATGCTCTTTCCCTTTTTCCAGTTACAGGAGACTTCACCTAAGTGCCATGACTTTTAAAATAAAATGGAGAGTGTCTTGGCAACTACATCAGCCAGTTTCCTCAGGGACCCTGGTGTGCATCTAATTGGGCCTCATGGACTTCTGTATGTTCAGGTTCTTGAGGTAGTCTCAAACCTGATGTTCACTTATGACAGGAGTGACTTCATTCCCACATGTCTTGAGGTTCAGGGACTGGAGAGATGTGGGAAGAGAGATAACCATTGAAAAGAAGCAAAGAAATTGTTGAGTACCTTAGCCTTCTCCATGTTGGTTGTCACTTTTCTTCTGTCTTATTTACCAAGGAAGAGAACATTTTTTTAATCTTCCTTTTCTGGCCATCATAACTGTACAAGTCCTTATTATTCTTCACATCCCTTGCCAAATTCAGCTCCAGTTGTGCCTTAGCTTTCCTAATCCCATCCCTACATATCTGGCAGTGTCCCTATATTCTTCCCAGGATATATGTCCCTATGCATCTCCTTACACTTTAATTTGACCAGGAGGTTCTTACTCAGCCATATTCGTCTCCTGCCTTCCTTGACCAGTTTCTTACATGGGGGAATCAAGAGCTCTTTCACTCCTAGAATGATGTGCTTAAAGAGCTGCCAGCTCTGTTCAGATCATATTCCAGTGAAGAGGTGAAAAAAGATATACTGTTAAAATAACACACACACAAGATGACAGGACTGTTCTATTTTCTTTCAAGGTTAAATTTTGTTACGAACACATCCTGTTCTTTGTTCAGAATTCTATAGGGGTTGGGGTTTTTTTGGTTTGGTTTTTGGTTTGGATTTTAACAGAGAAGTGCATAAGGATTAAGCCTCTGACTTGCCTTCAAATCCAGTAATAATACCAATAAATCCCCTTGGATTGCTTTGGAGATTTATCGCCTAACCTTATGTCATTAAAATCTAAGCTGTGAAATAGCTGGCATCTGAATTGCATATTGCAAAATACTCATATTTTACAAGTTTATGGTATTACAAGACATGTATCCAAAATCCTCAAATTGCTCCGAGGTTTTCATTTCTCTTCTCAAAGTATAAAAGAATTGAATTTGAATGAAACTGAAATGCAAGATTTTTCTTCATTTACTGAGCAAGCTTGATCCAATGACACCTGTCACTGCAAAACTTAAAGTATGTTATTGAAGTATGTTACCAGAAGCAAGCAAGAAAGCAACATAGCAAGCAAAATAAATCTTACACAAAAGACTCCTGATATAAGCTAGCTAATGTTAGTGATTTAAAGCGGTTTTGTAGGCATTGCCTAGTAATTAAAGAAACATCTGATTCAGTTGCTAAAATTTTGAACATTTGATCTTAGACAATATTTATTTTATTTTATTTTATTTTTCTGACATGCTATTTAATATCAATATCTTTCAATATTCTGTGTTTTAAAACTATTACATTTTATGGCATTCTATTCTCTGGATATAAAAAAACATATTTACAATGAATAATACAAATTTGCACATATGTATTTGACATTGGGCCATATGTACTTCCTCTAGATCTGCCATTTTATCTCATAATCATTACTATAGTAAAAAAAGTAAATCCAGGTGCTGCCAGGAGTGTACTCTAGAAGGAATATTTTAATGTTAAAATATATTATTATCAAATACGTTTTAACACAGATGGATTTTTTTTCTCCTAAAATATTCTGTTATCTTAATTTGAGACACTTCTTGAAATATAGAGAATACTGAATTAAAATGAGCTGAGTGCATGTGGCATCTCTACAGAAATGGAAATAACTAATTATTTGTTTGAGAGAATTAATCATATTTGACAGGAACAACCGATAGTAATAGGTTTAGTTTCCAAATTTATCTAGCAAATGAGGATAATATTAACTTTTTAGTAACAGAGCAAAACATTTGTTTGTTTTAAGATTTATCACTAGTGAGTCTAGACTAAAGTAACTTCTAAATTTGAAAACTGGAAGAATAATTGTAGAAAAACTTGGCACATGTTCCTATTAAAAAAAAAACATTGAAAATAAAAAAGCTATAATAAAAATTGAGCATATTATTTTCACAGGAAAATTTGATTTTCCAGATTCTATTTCTATATAATAAACTTCTAAATTTGGTTATTGAAAATTAAATATGAACACCCAATGGAAGTGGTAAAATTTATTTTTACCGCGTTGTGTACTAATCCAATAAAAGTGTTTTGTTACGAGATTTCATTTCACTGCTACATGTCAGGATATAATCATAGAATGGTTTGGGTTGGAAGGGCCTATAAAGATAATCTAGATCCAATCCCCCTGCCATGGGCAGGCACACCTTCCACTAGGTCAGGTTTCTCAAAGCTCCATCCAACCTGGCCTTGAACACTGCCAGGGAGGGGACATCCATAACTTCTCTGGGCAGTTAGATACAAAGAGAAAAGGAGTCTCTTCCTTGTATCTAAACTAAATCTCCCTCTTTCAGTTTAAAACTGTAACTCCTCATCACTATAGTCCCTGAGCAAGTGTCCCTTCCCATCTTTCCTGTAGGCCCCCTCTAAGAAGTGGAAGGCAACTATAAGATGTCCCTAGAGCCTTCTCTTCTCTAGGCTGAATAACCCCAACTCTCTCAGTCTGCCCTCGTAATGAAGGTGCTTCAGTCCCCTGAATATCATCACAGGCCTCCTCTGGACCTACTCAAACAGGTTCACATCCTCCTGGTTGAGGACACAGAGCTCCATGTGATATCTCTCAACAGTGGAGTAGAGGAGGAGAATCACCTGCGTCAACCTGCTGGCCACACTTCACTTGATGCAGCCCAGGATACAGTTGGACTTTCTGGACCGTGAGTGCACATTGCTGGCTCAGACAATTTTCCGTCCACTAATACCCCCAAGTCTTTCTCGTCAACGCTGGTCTCAAGCCACTCTTCACCCAGCCTGTATCTGTGCTTGGGATTGGCTTGACCCATGTGCAGGACCTTGCATTTGGCCTTGTTGAACTTCACGAGGTTTACATGGGCCCACCTCAAAAACCTGTCAAGGTCCCTCTGGATGACATCCCTTCCCATCAGTCTGCTAACCCCACCACACAGCTT